TTTATTGTTTGCAGATTATTGTAATAGCACCTTGTCTATTTATGCAATACTACTGTCTGTAAAGGTAAACCAAAGTTCCACTTATATTTTGTTTTATTTAAATGTAATAACATGCTTGCGCTGTGTTAGCTTTTAAATTGTCTCTGGTGTCTCCACAAGTGGGATACCAGAGGACAAAAGGGCCAGGAAAGTGTATGGTGCATGTGTTTGGCGCATGCTTGTGGGATTGCGTGTGTAGAGTGTGGTGTGGTATTGTGTAAATAGGTCAATTTTGTGGTGTAATATGTGTGGCTAGGGGTTGTAGAGAGTGCGTGTATAGGGGCATAGTGTTATAGGGGATGTAGCGAGTGTGTACATACGGGCAGTAGTGTGTGTGTATAGGTGACGTAGCATGTGTAGGGGTTGTAGAGAGGGTGTGTTTAGAGAATGTTGTATGTGTTTGCTTACAAGGAATGTAGTGTGTGTGTAGGTGGTGCAGTGTGTGTGTGTAAAGGACCCAGAGTGTGTATAGAAGATTGTGTGTGTGTGTGTGTGTGTGTGTGTGTGTGTGTAGAGGATTAAGAGTGCATATAGGGTAAGGGATCTAACGTGTATCTGGAGCGTTATGTGTGTAGTGGTGCAGTGTGAGGGGTGCTGTAGTGTGTGTGTATATATATTTAGAATATATTTGGACGTATTGTATGTGTGAGGTGCGCAGTGTGTTTGTGTAAGAGGGGTGCTGTGTGTGAGGGTGTTTTTATCTGCCGTCACATTCTAGGTTTCTAATTTTCTTTGTCTGTTAACTCACTGAGGGTTATTTTATATATATATATATATATATATATATATATATATATATGTGTGGGAGTGAGGGTGCTGTCTGTCTGAGGGTGCTGTCTGCGTCTGAGGGTGCTGTGTGTGTCAGAGGTGCTGTGTGTGTCTGGGGGTGCTGTGTGTGTCTGGGGGTGCTGTGTGTGTCGGAGGTGCTGTGTGTGTCTGGGGGTGCTGTGTGTGTCTGGGGGTGCTGGGGTGTCTGGGGGGTGCGGTGCGTGCTGTTTGTGTCTGGGGGTGCTGTGGGCTCTGGGGTGCTGTGGGCTCTGGGGGGTGCTGTGGGTGTCTGGGGTGCTGTGTGTGTCTGGGGATGCCAGGGTGTCTGGGGGTGCTGTGTGTGTCTGGGGGTGCTGTGTGTGTCTGGGGGTGTGTGTGTGTGTCTGGGGTGTCTGGGGGCGGTGTGTGTGTGTCTGGGGGGTGGTGTGTGTGTGTCTGGGGGTGCTGTTTGTGTCTGGGGGGTACTGTGGGTGTCTGGGGGTGCTGTGTGTGTGTCTGGGGGTGCTGTGTGTGTGTCTGGGGTGCTGTTTGTGTGTCTGGGGGTGCTGTGTGGGTGTCTGGGGGTGCTGTGGGTGTCTGGGGGGTGCTGTTTGTGTCTGGGGGGTGCTGGGGTGTCTGGGGCGCTGTGGGCGTCTGGGGGGTGTGCTGTGTGTGTGTCTGGGGTGCTGTTTGTGTGTCTGTGGGTGCTGTTTGTGTGTCTGGGGTGGGTGTCTGGGGGTGCTGTGGGGTGTCTGTGGGTGCTGTTTAGTCTGGGGGTGCTGGGTGTCTGGGGGGTGCTGTGTGTGTCTGGGGGTGCTGTGTGTGTCTGGGGGTTCTGTGGGTGTCTGGGGGGTGCTGTTTGTGTCTGGGGGTGCTGTGTGGGTGTCTGGGGGTGCTGTGGGTGTCTGGGGGGTGCTGTTTGTGTCTGGGGCGTGCTGTGGGTGTCTGGGGGGTGCTGTGGGTGTCTGGGGGGTGCTGTTTGTGTCTGGGGCGTGCTGTGGGTGTCTGGGGGGTGCTGTTTGTGTCTGGGGGGTGCTTATTAATAAAAAAATTAAAAAAAAGTTATGTGTTTCCCCCTCCCCTCCCTTTTTACCTTTATCCTGGGAGGGGGGGAGGAGATCCATTCTCGCATGCTTCCCTGGTGGTCCAGTGGTGAGAGGGAACTCTAACCTGCGGGTTAGAGTTCACTCTCGCGAGAGCTGAGCGTTGCCGTGGCAACGCTCAGAATCCCGCGAGAGGACCCGGCGGAGCTGCTTGTTAGAGCTCTGCCGGGTCCTCCCTCCCTCCCTCACCCAGCCGGCGGCTGCATCTCCATTCTTGTGGGCCGGTGAGGGAGATCTGTGATCTCCCCACCGGCCCACGGAGACATACAGCGGGGCCGGCGCTTGGGTAGCGCTGGCCCTGCAGGGGCCGGCCGGGGAGATCCTGTGATCTCCCCTGCCGGCCTCGGCCCCACGGCCATCGCGGCCCACCGGGCATTTGCCCGGTATGCCCGATGGCCAGTCCGGGCCTGATATATAGTATAGCATTTCTAATTACTACTGGTAATGTATGGGTTAATTCATCTTAGGGTTAAAAGCAGTTCATATATAAAAATAAAGGAAAAACACCCTTATCAGTCTAATGTCATAAC